CTCTCTCTCTCTCTCTCTCTCTCTCTCTCTCTCTCTCTCTCTCTCTCTCTCTCTCTCTCTCTCTCTCTCTCTCTCTCTCTCTCTCTTTGTGACTCCCTCACCCTAGCTCGTCATGCACCTTTATTCCCTCCTTTTTTTTCTTTTTTTTTTTTGCCTACTAAAACATCTCCCCCTCCCTGCACTATCGCACATCCTCCCTCGTCTTGCACCTCTAAACCCGTAGCCCGTCATTGCTCATCGTGGACCCCGACTCCGCTCCGTCCTTCATCGCCTCCTCCCTCCTTCATCACCGCACCTTCCTCCTTCATAGCCACTCCCCCCTCCGACATTGCACATTCTCCCTCCTCCCTATAGCCCGTAGCCCGTCATTGCTCATCGTGCACTGTTATCCCCCAACTCTGCTCCCTCCTTCATCACCGCTTCTCCCTCCATCACCGCTCCTCCCTCCACACATCACACATCCCCCCTCCTCCCTCATCCATCGCCCCTCCTTTTCTCCATCCCTCATCTTCCCTCCGCCCTTGTCCATCACCCCTGTTTCCTCCACCATCCAACATCCTCCTTTTCTTTCACCCATCGCCAGGGTACTTGTATGCTTCGGTGTGTATGTGACCCGCAAGGGTACTTGTATGCTTGGGTGTGTGTGTGACCCACAAGGGTACTTGTATGCTTGGAGGATGTGTGATGGTGGAGGGCGCAGGGGCGATGGACGAGGGAGGAGGGACAGATGGAGGATGGAGAAAAGGAGGGGCGATGGATGAGGGAGGAGGGAGGATTTGCGATGGTGAAGGGAGAGCGGCGATCAAGGAGGGAGGAGGCCAATCGCATTACACAAAACAGCTTCACTCTTTCTGAGATTTGCTGCCAGGCCTTACTGACAACTACCCTCCTTTTCTTTTTCTCTTTTTCACCTACCTCGGGCAACGTCTCCCTTTATCCAGGTTCTCCATTCCGGCCATGGATCCTTGCAACCCAGAGTCAAGAACAGAGCACAGAAATTCAGGCAAGCAGGCCCTCTTCCCCAATGATATGTCCTTTTTCTTTATTCTCAATATCAACAGTTCAACCAAGCCTATCTATACACAGCTACCTTCCAAGGCTCTCAAGCCTCCAACTGGGTCGTTTCATGATCCCCTGCACAGGACATTAGCGGTCCAGGCACAAAGCAGCGTGCTCGTACCGCAGACAGCGGTAAGAGCCCGACTTAACTTCAGGCGAACTGGTGTTTTCACGTCCATTTTTCACATGACTTGGCACAAAGTCTTCAAACATACATATAGTTATAGATGAACGTGGACAGACAGATTCCTGGGAAAGATAGGCACGCACCGTGCCGAAAAAATGAGGCTAATACAGAAGAACGCTCGTGAAGAGGGGAGAGTCCGGAGAGAGAACACCCATTTTCAAGCCGCTCGCCTGTGAAAACACAGAGGTCACACAAATCACAGCAAGCAAGCACGATGCACAGACTCAGAGAGAGACGAACCTTAGTGGTGAGCAGCGGGAATGTCTTGCGCAAGTTGAACCGCATCTGAAAGGCGGCAATCCCCAAGCAGGGAAAGCACAAGCGTCACAAACATCACAAATATCACAAACATCATGAACACGCCAGAGAGACAGATGTCAAGATGCCACACAAACAAAAGGTGAAAAATATCACAAACATGACAGACACACATGTCAAAATGTCACACAAAAAAATGTCACAAACATCACATGACAGACAGACGTCAAAATGTCACACAGAGAAAAGGTCACGAACACCACGAACATGACAGACAGACATGTCAAAATGTCAAACAAAAAAAAAAGGCTTACAAACTAGGCTATTTGGCTCGCCCGGCTGCACGGCCGTGCAGCCCGGGCAAGCCGCCCGGGGGTCACATACACGGGGAACCTCGTGTGGGGAAAAATCAGCATTTTTTTTCTTTTCTTTTTTTTTTGTCTTTTTTCTGGTGGGAAGTTTTCTGCGCATGGCCAGAGGAGCCCAAATCCGGGATCCTTTCTTTTTTCGATTGTTGGCTGTCAAGGGGGGGGGAAGGGGGGTATAAATTGGTTTTCGAGGGGCTAAAGGGGTTTAGACGGGTGTGCCTTAGTCTCATTCTGTTGGTTTCATTTTTATCTTCCATTCCTTGAGAAATTCTGAGGTGACCCTCAGCCAAAAGCCGTTTGTATTGCAATTCTACGCAACATTTTTTTTTCCTGGATTTTTCTTTTTTTTTTTTTTTTTTTGGGCGCTGGGGCTGCCCGGAACCCTGTCCGGGGTTCATGCACGGCTCGGACCCCGGGCGTGCATCCTGGCACAAGTGGATTGCCCGGGCGCCCCGGCAAACAGCCTAGGTACTTACAAATGCAACTCACACGTCCAAGCTACCGTCTTCACCGCAATAGAACACCCAGTCATTATAGCTGCATTTGGTGCAACTTTCAGTCTAGATACAGTGATAATGACCGGGGGCGTTATATTCGGGTGAAGACGGTAGTCTGAAAGTGGGAGATCTCCAACCAGGGAAAGCACCACGAGTCACAAACGTCACAGACGCTGCAAACATCACAGACATGTCAAGATCCATTTCACAGAAAAAAAAAAAAAGGGGGGGGGGGGGGGGGGGGGGGGGGGGGGGGGGGAGGGGGGGGGGGACATAAAAGAAAGTCACAAATGCCACTCACGTCCGCATGCTAATCAGAATTCCTGCTTCGTGACTTTCGTTCTCTTTTATTTTTCCTTCTGTCTGATTAGCATGGGGACTTGAGCTGCATATGTAATAACTCTTCCCTGATCCACTGTCTTCATCCTTATCACCATCCTCCTCTTCGCCCCGTCTACTGCTCTCTGCTCCATTTCTCCCCCTCTTCCTCTCGCTCTTCCTTGTTCTCCTCCTCCTTCTCCTCTCATCATCATCATCATAATCAACACCATCACAAATTCCTTTCCGTTATGATAACCATCATCATCAGTACCCTCAAGCACTAACCATGATACTCCGTCTCCTCCCTGATCGCACTCCTCTTCGCCCTACTCGTCCTCCTCCTCCCCCTCCACCTCCTCCTCATCCTCATCCTCATCCCCATCCTCGTCATCAATCATCATCCTTATAACCAATATCGTCATCTTCATTATTCCCTGCTCCTTACCATACTACTTGCACTCACCGCCATCATGCTCGTCGACTTTTCACCATAAACCACCTCCTCTTTGGTACCATCATCATCATCATCATCCTAAATTCCTTAACGACATCCTCATGGGTATTGTTATCGATGCTCCGCATCATCATCTGCGACATCATTGCCATCACCATCATCATTATGCTTGCCTTTCATCTCATCATCATCGTATCAACATAATCACGCATCAGCCACCATTATCATTATCATCATCATCATCATCATCATCATCACTCTCGTCACCAATGGCACCATCACCATTTCATCACCACCACCATCATCATCTAATCATCGTCATCATCATCATCAGCAGCAGCAGCAGCAGCTGCAACAACAGCATCCCATCATTATCATTGGCCGCAGCAGCATGTCGTCATCATCATCATCATCATGTCATCATCATCATCACCATCATCATCATTACCTGGCAGCCAAAGAGTGAAAGAGTTCCTGTGCCTGTCCGATCGCCCTTGGCTGTACCATTGGCCATGACATTCTGGACCAGGTCCAGATACTGATACTCCTCATGGCGCTTCAACAGATAGCCTGGCAGACGGAGCTGATCCTGGGACTGGAATTGGGACTGGCAGTTTTGCTGATCGTGCCCAGAGTTCTTGTTCCTGCTCCCTATTCCTGGTTCCTGTTCCTGCTCCTGCTTGCTGTTCCTGGTACCGTTTGTGTTCCCACTCCCATTCCCATTCCTTCCCGCATCTTCTGCTGGGACCACATTTGGTACCGAGTCTATGCTCCCACTAGGTGCCTGCCTCGACAAGGCCGGCGGTCCACCTCCCTTCTCTCGGGATCGGGACTCGTCACCCCCTCCTCCCCCTCCCCCCCCTCCCCCTCCGCCAACGCCTCCGCCTCCGTTCATGCGTCTGCGCACGTACGTCAAGAAGCTGTACCTGGTCCCTTTCTCGACACGTGGCGCCGATGCAGACCACACTGCAAATACTGATTCGTCAACGGGTGGCATAAACGTGTCACATTCGAACGCATCTCCCTCAATTTCGGTCAAATGAATAACTTCGCAAAGAGGGGACTTCATTGCCTCCCTGCCAAAACAAAGAAGAACATACCAATAACCAATAAATGAAAATCCATATACATATGTAGTAATATATATTGTCTCATCATCGACGACAGCCCGGTGGGGAAAAAAAAAAAAAAAGGAAAGGAAAAAAGAAAAAAAGAAAAAAAAACGGAAAGAAACTGCCCGGTGAACCGTAGGCAGAGAAGGAGAATAGGACAACAAACGAGGGGCTGCGACATACTGGGGCTCGCTCCATTACTCACAACACACACAAAAGACAACAAATATGTCGCTGTATCAGCCCATGTTATAGCGGAAGATTCATTCTCATTTTGCAACTGTCACGAGTTATTGAGCGAGGGCCACTGTTTCGTCGGAATTTCACGGACTCATCAGTTTGGCAGATTTTACCTTCCTTCTTTCTTTTGTCTTTCTTTTATTTTTTTATTTCTTTCTTTAATCTTTTGTCAGCCATCTCTCCCTGATGTGGAATGGCATCTGTCCATTGCAGGCCCTCTGTTGTGGTTCCATTTCTTTTACTCTTGATTATATTTGGATCGTTGTGTTCGTATCATTGCCCTCTTTTCTGTTATCGTCGGTCACCACTGGAAAGAAGAAGAAGAAGAAGAAGAAGAAGAAAGAAATGAAAAAAAGGATGATGAAGAAGAAGAAGAAGAAGAAGAAGAAGAAGAATCGTGAAGAAGTAGAAGAAGAAAACGAAGAAAAGGATGATGAAGAAGAAGAAGAAGAAGAAGAAGAAGAAGAAGAAGAAGAAGAAGAAGAAGAGGAAGTAGAAGAAGAAGAAGGGGAAGAAGTGTTCGTATTATTGCCCTCTTTTTTGTTATCGTCGGTCACCACTGGAAAGCCGGGTCTGATATAGCGCGGTCGGCGCATGGTTGACGAACGCTGTCTACGTGCTAGAGCAGGCTGTCGGTAAGGTAAAGAACCCGGCAGATTAGCATCAACACGACGTCGACAGGGGGCAGATGAAGAAGAAGAAGAAGAAGAAGAAGAAAAGGATGATGAAGAAGAAGAAGAAGAAGAAGAAAGAAGAGGAAGTAGAAACAGCCGAACACAACAAAACAGGGGGAAACAAATCCTAGATGACAAGTCCCACATGTAAGCACCGCCCCCACGTCACAGGCCAAACGACGGGACAAGACCAACCAGGATATCAAAACACCTTGCCTGCAAAGAAAGGAAATCAATCTATTGCCACTACTGCTGTCAGTGCTGAAGGATGTCCAACTAAACATAAAAGACAATCCCAGATGACGATTCCCACATAAAAGCACCGCCCCCAGATGCACAGAGGCCGAACAACAGGAAACAACCAACCAGGATGCCAAAATAAGAAAGAACCCGGATGACTAGTCCCACATGAAAGCACCGCTACGCATCCCAAAATAGACCGAACAACGGGAATACTCTGCTTTGACTTTCGTCCTTCTTTTTAGAGAGAGAGAGAGAGAGAGAGAGAGAGAGAGAGAGAATAGCGGGCCTGGCTGCTGGATCCAGGTCTGTTTGGCAGAGAGTATAGCGCTCCTTGAGCAGATCAAGAATTCAGTCCTTGCAGGGTATCAATTGTCCGTCCAGCAGTCTTTGATGCTTAATCACAACTAACCGTGGTTAAGGTGGATTATCACTTATAAAATTGAGTCCTTGCCTAGGCTACCAGCCGGGCCGCCCGGGTCCCGGGTGGCCAGCCCGTGCAAGGACCAGGGAAGGTCCCA